CATATACAGATTTAATGTAATCTCAATGAAAATACCAACAACATACCTCATAAAACTACAAAAAAACTCCTAAAATTGGAACCAGAAGAGACCGAAAATAGGAAAAGCAAACCTGGATAACAAAAACAAAGCAGGAGACCTCACAATCTCACATTTCAAAATTATATGACAAAGCTACAGTGGTAAAAGCAGAATGGTACTGGTGCAAAAACAGACATGTGGATCAATGGAACAAAATAGATAATGCAAAAACAACCCCTGACACATTTAGCTGTCTGATCTTTGACAAATGAGCCAAAAAAAACATACAATGCAGTCAAAATGGTGCTGGGAAAATTGCCTATCCACATGCAGAAGATTTAATCTAGACCCATATCTCTCACCATATACTTAAATAAAACCAAAATGGATCAAAGACCTATGTATTAACACATAAACACTTAATCTGCTACAAGACAAAAGACACAAAACTCTTGGAGACATAGGCATAGGCAAGGATTTTGTGAAAAAGACTCCTGATTGTACAAGAAATAATATCAAGAATTAACAAGTGGGATTACACCAAGTTAAAAAGCTTCTGCACAGCTGCCACCTCCTTAGCACAGAAGGCAGTGTGTCAATCTCATAATCTAAAAAAGCTTCTGCACAACAAAAGAAACAACCAACAGAGTGAAGAGACAACCTACAAAATGGAAGAGAAATTGTCAGCTATCCCTCAGATGACTAATATCTAGAAGTATAAAGAAGAAAAAGTTAAATTCCCCCCAAATAAAAGACCAAATCAAAAACTTGTCAAATGAAATGAATATACTCTTCTCAGAAAAAGATAAATACATGAAAAAATGTTCAGCATCTCTGGACATTACAGAAATACAAATTAAAAGAACACTGAGATTCCATCTTTCTCTAGAAAGAATGTCTATCACCAAGAAATCAAATAATAACAAATGTTGTCAAGGGTATAGAGGAAAAAAGAATCCTTCTGAAGAAGGAATTGTTGTGAATGTAAATTAGCAAAACCACTATTGGAATCAACATGGAGATCCTTCAAAATGGAAAACTACAAATCTCATTTGAACCAGCTATTCCCTTTCTAGATATCTTCCTAAAAAGAGTTAAAAGATATCACATTACAGAGATCCATGTAAACTCAATGTTTATAGCTGCACAATTTTTAAGAGCTAAGTCTTGGAAGTGGCTCATATATCCATCAATAGATTAATGGATAAAGAAAGTGTGGTATTTATATACAATGGAATACTACTCTGTCATAAAGAAGGATAAACGTGAGTCATTTTTAGAAAAATGTATGCACCTTGAACCCATAACGTTAAGTTAACTAAGTCAGATACACAAGCATAAGTACCTCATAGTTTCTCTTATATGAGAAACCCAAAGTATGAATAAATTAAAGACCAAAATAATAGAGATAAATTATGGGAAACACAATGATAGATAAGGACTTTTAAGATAAATGAATCTGATGCTGGAAAAATAAAAGGGTGTGAAGAGAAGGGGGATAAAGAAGGGAATTGAAATGTGTTATGTACCAATTCCCTTCAGCGACTCTAATCATTGTATATTACAAATGTACTAATAACAGTAAAAAAATATTAAACAAAGAAAAAATAGTTAAGGGGACCAATAGATGGAGAGAAGGGAGAGGAAAGGAGAATGTAAAATGTATTAAGCTGTATTATGTACATGTACCGACTCCCCATAATGAATGTAATCACTGTGTATTGCAAACAAGTACTAATAAAAATAAAAATTAAAGAAGATATAGTTTAGTGGCATTCAACAGAATATAATTTTCTATCCGGGAGTTATCTGACAATGTTTGGTGAAATTTTCAGTTGTGCACAACTTGAGGAGTTATGGCCTCTTGTGGATCGCAGCTAGAGATTCTGCTAATGATCCTACAGTGCTCAGGGAAAACCCTTACCACAAAGAACTGTCAACTTAAAATGTAAGTAGTGCCAAACTTTAGAAACCCTGAGACAGGTGAGTAAAGGGAATTAGTAGGGAGTGCTAATTATAAACTGTCATGGAGATGAGAGTCATATAAGAGCGTGTGTGTTAACTCAGAGATCAGCAATACCAGAATGTGCTACCAAAACTAAATGTAAAGGAGAAAGTTAAGAAGCATGTGTTACAGAGCCTACGAACTGTGTGACATGTGATAGTCGATAGCACAAACAAGACGCAACCACTGTCACATACACCTCCAGAAACAAGAGAGGGTGATATACCTTGGTTTCTCCCTCCTCCTGTGTTACCGTCTTCCGACCAGTGCCTCCCAATACTGTCCAAACCCAATAGGAAGCAAGTTGACAACAGAGGCTGGGAAATGCAATAATGAGAGGTAATCCTCCAATAATACAGAATAGAGCAAGAAAAGAATAAAGAAGTGATATCTAAGTAAACAGGAAAATCAACATTAAGAGAATAGGAGCTTCAGAGTAAGGCATATCTAGGTTTGAATCCTAGTTACATCACTGATTACTAGTTTTGAGACTTAGGAAACCAGCTGACCTTTTCTAAGCCTCATATGATTTATCTACAAAGTGGAATTATCAATACCTATTCTCATGGGATTGGTATGAGAGCTGATTACAAAGAATATCGTGCTCACTTCGGCAGCACATATACTAAAAATATAATAAAAGAATATAGCAAATCATTGACATATGCATTTTCAATAAATAATTGCTCTATGCTCTTTATCCTAAGAATTTATAAAATTAAAAGTATTAATTGTGATCGTTAAACTCCTTTGTGCCAGACACAAAGCAGGCACTCAATAGAGGTTGGATTCCTTTTCCATTAACAAACATGTTTTCATTACTTGAGTCTCACTTCCACGCCTTCATTTCAATCTTCTCATTTCTCAGTGATACTTGCCTTATTACATAGCACACTCCATTCTCCAGCAGTGTGGCTTCTCAGGGAGAAGTAAACTAAATAAATGTGGCTTCTCAAATGAACACTTATAATTCAAATGTATTTATTTTCAAATTCAAATAATTGAAATTGCTGCTTCAAAAGGAGATAATAGCATATTGTTTATTTTTAAAGGAGGTAAAAGTAGGAATTTTTCCCAGTTTCTCTTTTTCATTAGTACACGTTTGCAGTACATAATGATTAAATTCCTTGTGGGAAGTTGGTATATGTACATAACACATCTTAATTCTCTTTTTTTTTTTTTGGTACTGGGGATCGAACTTGGGTCCCTGCACTTGCGCAGCAGGCTGCGACACCACTGAGCTAAATCCTCAGTCTTAATTCTCTTTTTATCCCCTTCCCCCATCCCCTCCCTCCATCTCTTGATCTACTTTCCATGTGAGAAAGAACTACCTCCCTACTTCCTATTATCTATCTCTTTTAAATTTTGGGTTGCTCATATAAGGGAACTGTATTAAGCTTGTATATCTGGTCTATTTCACTTAATATTATGGTTTCAAAGTGCAACCATTTTCTTACAAATGACTCAAATTTATCCTTTCTTATGGTAGAGAAGCCCTTCATCGTGCATAAATGCCACATTTCTTTATATTTTGAATGTTTTTATGACAAAGAATGATAATTCTTGAGGAAATAGCTATGTTTACTCTGATTTGGACATTACACAGTATATACATTTATCACAATATCACATAGTACCCTATCAAGATGTATGCAATTATGTGTCAGTTTTAAAAAATAAAATTTATAGAAAGAGAGGTCACAACAACATGCTGGTTTAAATTTGACTGGCTAACTTTAGATGACTCTTCCAGTCCCTGAGATTTGCAACTGGTAGAAATTTCATATTCTAAAACAGCCTAAGCCCCTTCACTTTATATAGAGTATATCCTTGCACATTGCCTTGTTGGGAGTAAAAGTTGAAATCTCCATGCTCCTCCTTGTAACTGACAAACTAAGAGAGAAAATATTTTGCACCAACGAACTTTCCTGTTTCTGTCCTGTTCGTCCCTTAATTGTTCTGAGTTGTCACATAAAGACTCAATATCAAAACATGGCATTCTTACTCTTATAGAAATCTATGAGGTAAGAGGATTTAGACTGGTACCTCTATAAACATACATTTTCAGCCACGCTAAACTGGAGAACCCTGCATTATAAGTATTTCTTTACTCCAAATTCCTATAGCTCTTATATATAGTTTCTATACTGTACCATCCCTCTAAATATTGCAGATATTTATGATTCTTCCCCTACCTCATTTCCAATCAGCTGCAAAAGTGTATTTTATATGTCTTTGGAGTATATGGTGCCTAAAATGACCATAGGCTATAGAAGTTACTTAAATATACAGTGAATGAAAAATTAAGAATGAATGCAACTACTCCTTGGTTAAAATGAAGATTCAATGAGTTGAGATGACATATTGAAAGCCTATATCACAGGTTTGGCTTCCCTCATTTCTTGCATGAGTTCAATTTGCTACTTAAAAATTTGAGAAAATCCCTTACTGACACCAACATGCCAATATTACTAGCTTCAAAAATAAAGTAATGGCCAGGGATTTACCTCAGTGGTACCGCACCTGACTGAGAAGCGCAAAGTCCTGAGTTCGATCCCTGATACCAAAAAAAAAAAAAAAAACCCCAAAACAAATAAACAAACAAAAAGAAAGTAAGATATTCTTCTTCTTAATTAATCTTAATTTAAGTAACTAAAGTAGACAACTTCTTTTCAGAGGCTTCTCCAGACACACCAGAGGCAATAATTGTTCTGGTTGGAATCAAGATGAAGAAATAGAAAGTCAACTTTAGGTTTAGGTTTGTATTTACACATTTATAAATACTCTTTTTACAAATGACTCATCTGTTTGCCTCCCAGTAGAATGCAAACTACTCCAGTTGCTAAGGGTGGGAGCAGTGGGCAAATTACTGTATAGAGGAAAAATGACGACATCCAAGTTTGAGGGTCAGGGTAAAAACAGGATAGATTTAGTGGAATCTATTGAAAAAACAAAATGAAAATTATTTCCTTACCCCTCGGTACTGGCTTTCATTGAAAATCTGAGGTGGCAAGGGATACCCTGTGGCTGGTCGACTGTTTTCAGGTACATTTTCTCTCATCCACTTCCGATTCTCTTCATTGGCTGCAATATCTTTTTCTTCAAATCCTATTTTGTTGGCTTCTAAGAAACCAAGCACATCTTGCTGTTTCTTCTTAATCTAAGAAAGACCCAAAGGACAAGAAATCATATTGCTGAGCAAATAGCTTTTGTAATTTTTATTTTTCAAATTCAGCAAAAGTCAGTGTATGTGAGCTAGCAGAAAATAAATTCAAACATGTATCAAAATTTGTGGTTTCAAAATAGATATGTTTATTCTTCATTACTGTCTGGCTCAACAAGTGGGTTGAAGAATAGCCTATAGGTCCTTTTAATCAAATTTTTTCCTTTTCCCACTGAAAAGACCCCTATCTAGTAATACTGAAGCAAGGTTAGCTGATGCATGTCAATAACAAAAAGAAGTGTAGTTAATTCAAAAGTATGTGTAGTGGAAGCTATGATGATTTACAAGCCTCAGTTTCAGTCCTTGTTCAAACTCTTTCCAAATGACTTACCATTTTAACAAGCATAGTCATCAGAAATGAATTTTTGCTTGACAGCAACACAAAGCTGGAAGTCACTCACATCTCAGTTTTCATTGTTCAGGACAGAAACTGAATGAGAAGACTAAGCTTGACTGAATACTAAACTTGGAACATAATTCTACCACTCATTAGTGCTTAACAAGTGCTGCTAAGATATGTTTATAGGTGCCTGTTCTATCGTTTTTCCTTGATTAATATTATACCTGAGATAGCTTTGAAAATAGTAAAATTAACATAATTTTTCTTTTCATATGTATGTTTGAAAACCTGAGTTCACAGATCTATACATAGTAATTTCCCCATATTTAAAACCATTACTTCATACTTCTGAGCTGAAAAGAACAATCAGTAAGCAAATTTATTCATGGAATTATAGTAAAAGGACACACTGGGCAGAAGCATCAAAATATATATAAAGAAGCAGGCCTGCTAATGGGAATCAAAATTCAAACAATGAACACCTCCCACCCCCCAGCACACACACATGCATACATGTAGTGTTACAGCTTGTATCTAGATGTCCTCCCAAAGCCTCCTGAGGTCATAGGTGGGGTTTTCTGGAGGTGGCTGGATCTAAGGTGTATGATGCTGAGATTAAGTGTGTGATTCTGAGATTAAGGGTACAATGCTGGGATAAAGGGTGCCCTACCCTCGGTGTGAGTAGCAGCACCCAAAAGGCAGGTGGCCTGGAAGGGCAGGCTGCTGCTTCACTGCTTTGTTGGGTGGAGACTGTCCTGCTTTGCCATGGACTATTTCTCCTCTGCAATGCTTCTCTGCCATGCCACCCTGCCTTGGAGCCAGCCAACTATGGACTAAAACCTCTACAAACTGTGAGCCAAAAAAAACCTTTTCTCTTTTAACTTTGGGTATTTTGTCTTAGCAATGAGAAAAGTAACTAAGATATGTACAGAGGTTGCACTATTTCCAAGTTGTTTGCGACTTTGGTAAATATTTTTTTCTCATCACATAATCCCAGGAAATCATTCTCAATTTTTTACAAAACAAAGGAATTTATAAAAGCTATTTTGGTCAGAGAACTGAATGTACTTTATTTTTATTTTATTTTTTTTTATTATTAAATTCTTTTATTGGTACATTGTAGGAATACAACACAATTACATTTCTCACTGGGAATTGTACCTTTACATGATGCCTCTTGGTTCTTATTTTTTCCCCATTTCTAGCCCTCCCTTCATGCCCTCCACCTTTCCCTATTTACAAAGACTTTATTTCCATTTTTGCCATTTCTCATCATTTTTCCTTTCCCTTCTTTCCTTTCCCCTGCCTTTCCCCTGCCTCTCCCACTCCCCCTACCCCTTTGGACCTCTTTTTCCTATTTTACATTATCGATTATTCATTCTAATCATTGGTACATTTTAGGTATACAATATAATGACATTCATCA